GGCGAGAGAGAGAGAGAGAGAGAGAGACCGGCAAAAGGATAGGAGAGAGGGGGGGGGGAGACAAAGCGGGAGAATGAGCGGGAGAGAGACAGAGAGAGAGAGACAGGGAGGAAGAGGGAGGGAGAGCTATACTACGAGGCAAGGAAATTATCGTTGACACGGAGCGAAAAAAAAAACACACCGTGTACTTGTATTCCCAACGGCAAATACAGCTGGGGCAGTCGGCATGTAGAAAGAGGTACATTCCGGGGCCCTCTTACAGTGCGGGTAGGACTGGCTGGCAAACATGGAATGCTCATATTGAGTACTGCGGGTGCCCGCTATAGTGAGGGTGATTGCGTTTGGCACATGCCCTCACAATAGAGGCCCCCCGGATGTAAAATCACAGCAGTAATCCCGGCGCTTAGGAAATTTAGGACACCACATGTTTCGGGTAACATACCCCGCTTCAACGGCACCATTTTTTCGTGGCGCCCCGCAGAGAGCACAAGTGTGCAGAAAGAAGGGGTGGGGTGTGTGTGCTCATATTCGTGCATGCCGTGGTCGTTAGACCGATGACCTCGCATCCCTACAAAGCCCGGACGGAGGACGCCGGGTTCTCACCGGACCAGGCTCTCACATCACCAAATAGTGGTGCGGTGGGATATTGTTAAGGACGTTGTCCGGTTTAAGGATACTTCTTGTTCAGAAGTATGAGGCAGTCCTTAAAAGAGGGAACTACTGCTGTACCCGAGTGCATCACCTCGTTCAAGAAAAATATTGGAATTGTGGCAACGGTGCCCACTCATGAGCTACTGCACCCCGACGCGTTCAGCAAAAAAAATCTCCCGTAGGCGACGTAAGACATCACACCCCCTCGACCAGTTTGCAAGTCCGTCGCTAGGGAGACGGAGGGGGCGGTCAGAACCCCTCCCCCAACACCAAAACCGCCTGCAAATCTGATACGTTTACATATAGCATATTCATATGTATGTCACGATTACGCCTATGTACTCATTATTACCACATATATATCAAATATGCAGGCCAACAAGTCCCTTTTCGCCTTCTTGTGGCCCAAGTCAGTCGCCAGGGGGACGGTCAGAACCCCGCCCCCAACACCAAAAATGCCTGCATATCTGATACGTCTAGATATAGCATATTCATATGTATGTCACGATTACACCTATCTACTTATTATTGCCATATATATATCAGATATGCAGGCCAACAAGTCCCTTTTCACCTTCTTGTGGCCCAAGTCAGTCGCCAGGGAGACGGAGGGGACGGTCAGAACCCCTCCCCCGACGCCGAAAACGCCTGCTAGAAACCCGCTCCCCGCCCCGATCGCCAGCATCGTCGTCACTCTCTCCGAAGACACCCCGGGGACGCTAGGAGATGTCCCCTCTCCTCCCTCCTCCATCGGTATCAAGCCTCCTCCGTCTAGGAGACCCGTCGCCTCCCCCGAAGAACGGTCTTCGGACCGTTCTTCGTACCGTTCTTGAGATCGATCCTCGGCTATGTCGTCTGCGGCGGTGGAGGGGCGGAGACAGGGACCTGAAGAAGAGGCAGAGAATCTGATACATGCGGGGTATTTTGGTCGGGCGATCTTGGGGGAAATATGACTGTTCTTCATACCGTTGTTGAGATCGGTGGGGGGGCGGGTACATGAGACAGCGAAATGGAGAAGAAGACCATCTGGCAAATGCGGGGTATTTGGTCGGGCGATCTTGCGGAAATCCGATTGTTCTTCGTACCGTTCTTGAGATCGGTCCTCGGGTAGGTGGCCTACTGTGGTGGTGGGGCGACGGATACATGAGACAAAAGACAAGCAGAAATAGCAGAGAATCTGGAATTTGCGACGTATTTTCGGTCGGGCGATCTTTGCGGAAACCCGACTGTTCTTCGTACCGTTCTTGAAATCGGTCCTAGGTTAGGTCTCCTGCTGTAGTGGTCGAGGGACGGATACATTAGACAGGGAGAAGAAGAAGACCAAGAAGAAGAAGAAGAAGAAGAAGGGCATCTGGTAGTAGCGGGGAACTTCGGTCGGGCGATCTCGCGGAAAATCCCGCCGCCGCCGTCGTCTTCCTTACGGAATGCCGCCATGGTACGGTAGCACCACAGCAGCAGAAGATGATGCTCGCCGGTACCATCCAGAGATCCTAAACCTTTCCATTTTTTCTATCGTGTGAAGAGAAGTAGCAACTGACGCGGCTGTGGAATCACGTATGAGCCTGCTGGACAGGGATCGAAAACGCGTGCTACAGTGGAGATACCCGAACACGGCGGTCGCCACATATTTGTATAAGGCGAGTGAAATTGGCTAGCACAGACGACGTGTGAAGTTGTTCTACACATTAAAAATCGAAGGCAACGTACCGCAGGAGGGGAGGGTAGAGAGGGGTTCTCCTGTGTGACCACGGGCTGGAGTAAACAGCACTAATGCTGTGAGCCGCTGATGTGAAGTGAAGACAAAAAAAAAAAAAAAAACGGCAAGTGAGCCGGCTGCCTCACATAAGGCGGTCATTGTCAGCTGCCCCCACCACCGCCTTATTGGGGTCCCCCACCGTATTCTTACTGCGGAGAGACGAAGCCGTAACAAACCTTCGAAAGGAGCGTTTGATTTTCTATATGTTTATCATAGCGAGAAAGAAAGACGCAAGAACAGCTCTTATCTAGCATACCTTTATTATGCGAAAGCTTGTCCCTGAGCGGCACAAGCGGTGCCACGGCGAGCATGAGCACCCCGAGCGCCATCTTGAGCGAGTTTCCGTCTACTCCGGCGGTGCAGCGGGCACCGGCGTGTGCCGCGGCCATCCCGGCCACCGCTATGGCTCCCGCTGCCCTATGAAGGAGGCACACAATTTATTTTTTGTCTTCACTTCAAATCAGCCCTCACAATAGTCATGACAAATTGGAGCAAATGTAACAGCGTTTATGGGGTGTAACATAGTAGAGCAGCTACGATGTCGTTGTTCATTTGGATTTTTGCATTCGAATTTGGAAAGCTGTGCCGTCAATGCGCGCTATCATATGATCTACTGAAGATCATACTACAACAGTGAAAACTAGGCCCTGTCTCAGGATTTTGGTCCTGACTATCATGTGCCTCATTAATAGTGCGGTTCAGAAGGAGTGGTGATAAAGATGCTCAATGTCAGTGCCTTCCATCATTATTGCTGCGTTTTTCAAACAAAAACAAGACAAAATTTGATCTCTTACCCATAGAGAAGAGTCCAGGAAAAAGGTTTCGATGGCTCCCAACAAAAATTATTTGAAGGATTGGTGTTGCTGTCCAGTGACAGAAAGGCGTTCTGGTTTCCGCCATTTTTTTTTCTTTGCCACGAAAACAGGACAAAAAAAAAAAAATCCACAGAAAAGAGTCCACGACATCACACACAACAACACGACGAGAAGAACAGCAACAGCAGCAGCAACAACAGCAGCAACACGAACACCACAATCAAAACCAAAACCACCACCACCACCATTACCACCACCACCACCACCACCAACAACAACAAACAACCCACCAACCCCAACACCACCACAGCAACAACAACAACACCACTAATACTGTATAACCACCATTACTACCACTACCAACACCAACAGCAACACCACTACCAACACCATAACACCAACACAACGAACAATAACAACAACAAAATGCCAACGACAACAACAACAACAACAGCAACACCACCACCACGAGCAACAACAACAGCAACAATATGCAGAGGGTAACTCACTGGTAGTCGACATGACCGGCCAGCGCGTAGGCTGTCGACCCAGCCGCCCCGGTAGCAAACACCGCACCCAAAGAAGTCCCGTGCGCCTGGTGCTGGTGGTAAGGTTCAACAAGTTTTCCCGCACGACGAAAAAAAAAAACACGAAATAAAACAAAATGACGCCATTGAAAGGTAGACCACAAGACAAAACTAGAGAAAAAAAAAGAGGTACAGACACTGTCATATCTAAATATATCACTTTTAGAGGTTAGGATTTTAGTCATAAATGTTAGGTTAGGGCCGTCGTATACACAGAGCGACTTTGCTTCCAGATTTCCAAATTTCCAAATTTCCAAATTTCCAAATTTCCAGATTTCTAATTTGGAACGGAATCGTTTATCGTTGCCAGTAGTTTTCAAATTTTCCAAACTTCCAAAAAAAAATCCTCTGCCACAAATACAGAAGTTCAACGGTCTACAGATTCGGAAATTCGGAAATTTGGAAGCGAAAAAGCTGATGTTTGAAACGGTCCTGAGGGTATCGTCACGCGCCTGCAGAGGAAAAAGAAAATGCAACGAATACTAAGCAGGTCGAACCTACGTAAGCTGGAAAAAAAACAATGGCAACAAAACGTAAGCAGGACGAACCTGCGTAAGCTGGAACAAAAGAGAGGGCAATAAATACTACGAAGACCGAACGTGCGAAAGCTGGGAAAAAAACAAGGGCAACAAACAAAAAGCAGGCCGAACCTGCGTAAGACCCAGCCAGCCAGTGAGGAACGGTATTGCGACGAACCCTCCTCCAAGGCCCACGAGAGAACCCAGAGAGCCTGCTCCTGCTCCGATGCCCATCGACGTTACGGCCAAGCCCGCCGCACCTCCTCCCCCACCCTGCAGCAGCAGCGGGTGGCCACACAATCCGCCGCGTGTTCATCATGATTCTCCCCGTCCGTCTGGTTGGGATTCTCCCCGATATTTTGTCGTTGACCCAGTAGAGAACTACAGGGGATGTATTGTAAAAGTTACCTATACAGATGTTTTTGTACTTAGCACCAGCTGGCATCACTGACATAAATCATCAGTGTAAATTTATAGACTTAAAAAGACTCGAAATAAGTCCAGTACCCAGCCGGTTTCCCTCCACTCACTGAAAAGACTCCACGACATCCCGTTCGACTGTGGGTAAATCTCGAATGGGTAGTCTTTCTGTGTGTGTTTTTATTATTATTCCTGAATTCGTATCGGCCGCGTTCTCATCACGATTTTTCCCGTCTGGTTGGCATTTGTATCCGCCGCGTTTTCATCATGATGCTTCCCGTCTGGTTGGCATTCTTAGAAGGACAAACAGTTCGAAGGACAAACAGTTCGGAGGACAAACGGTTCGACACAATACCACGAAAAAAAAAAAAAAAAGACGGATGAAGTGGATGTGTTAACGTCTTTTCAAACGTGTTATTTTTAGAAAATATACATACAATCTACTGGCTGTACATGACTTACAGCAGCAGCAGCTGCAGCATCCCGGTTTTCAAAGCTCGGGTACTCTGCAGGAAAAAAGGCGGCTGTGCCGACAATAAATTGTGGCATTGGAATCACCTCGTCGAGACCTTTCCGAAAAGAACGTGTCATTTTCTGTTGGCAGCATCGTGTTGTTTGTCGTGGAGTAATCGAGCTCCAGGGGGTGGGTGTGTTATCTACAGTAGTCATGACCGCTGTTGGGGTGGAAGAAAGGCTAGCCATTCGAGACAATACCATATAGATAGATGAAGTGGACGTGTTAAAAGTCTTTACAAGTGATTGATCGGTACCTTGCTACTTTGAAAAGATTTTTTGAGAAGGAAGTTAAGTTTTTCTGCATACAGTATCTGTATAAAGAGTTTAGTAAAGATGGAAACGACGTTGATGTTTTTGTGGTTTTATCTCAGGATGGTGAGAGATCGAAGCCAAACGCCTCCTTGGATCATGAAACAGTGCAAGGTGTCGCCCCGTTACACGCCAATCCCACACATGCCGCAAGGGTCAAAAATCGCCATTAATATTCCGACCGCCTATTTTTGGATAGGCAGCTCCTCCCTGTTCCTGCGGCGTTTGTTGGGGTGGCTGCCCACCTGGCTCAAAATCCGTGCTCCATTTCGCGCAATCTTTTCCTCTTCCATCATCTAGGAGAAGCTGGCGTAGAAGAGAGCAAGAAATTTGAGCCTGCCAGGTGGGCAGCCACCTATAGAAGCCGAATTCAAACCACTAAGACTAGTAAGCGCTGACTAGTCTGGTTTGATTTCGGCTTCTATACCATACCACAACAAACGCCGAAGGAATAGAGAAGGAAATAGGAGTATTAGCGAAGAGAGCCGTGGTGAAGGCAAGGAGGGAATAATAATTGTGATATGGGTGTGTTTATTTTTATTTATTATTTTTCATGACAGAGAGTCCAGAGTCCATCCGGTTAAATCTTGCCACGACCTCCCAGGATCACTCTGGAAATGATTCCGAGTGACTGACGTACCCCCCAGTGACATACTTTATATCGTGATGAAGCTCTGTTTGAGGCGGATCGTTTGATCGGAGGAGTTTTTTTTTTTATGGCGAGGGTGACTCTGGAATTGATTCCGAGTGACTGACGTACCCCCCAGTGACATACTGTATATCGTGAGAAAGCTCTGTTTGAGGCGAATCGTTTGATCGGAGCAGTTTTTTTTTTTTTTTTACAGCGAGAATATCGCAATTTTGTCGAGATTTTTCAAGATTTTGAATGGTTTTATTTGGTCGAATGTGAGGTCTGATTTTGTTATTTAAACCGGTTTTGAGCGTATCACGTCGAGGAGGTCAGGCCGACCCAACTCAGTGTTTTTTTTCGCTGACAAGCTACGGA